CATAAGGTTTTCAGTGTCTAAAGATTTGGAAGTAGTTCGTCACTCTTTCTTCCTAGTCTGTCTTTGTCTGGAAGCTCATCTGAAACCTGTCCACCACGGGTGACCCTGCTGGTTATTTAAAATTCCGGTGGCATAGCTTTCAGAATCATAGATACTCACAAGCCACTATAGTACGACAAACTGACAGACGAGTGCATGTATACTACCAATATAATAATATATAATACGTATTTCCATTTATATAAAAGTTCAAGGTTATCGGGTATCCGTGGAACATGGCCTAATTCATCCCAGGTCTTCATTGCTGCATTTCTTCTACTTTGACTCACAAATAGACTCAGATGGTCACTAGTGAGCATACTGACTGCTTATGGGTTCCCTTTAAGTTTCAGTCCTAGAAGGGAATTTTACCTATGCCAAGATGTTTTTGAAGAGGAAAAAGAACAAGTGGATCAACTTGACCTACTAGATATTAAGATCTGTTTTGTAATCAGGACATTGTGGTATTAGCACAGGGCTATGCAAAGAGACTGATGGAACAGAATAGAGATCCTGGAAATAGACCAACATTTGTGTTGACACTTGATCTTTGAGAAGTGGCTTTACAGTGCAATGGAGAAAGCACTGTTGCTAAGAAACAGTGCTGGAATAGTTGGACTTCCATCAAGAACTTAAAAAAAAAAGGCACCCTTCTCACAAAATATACAAAATTTTCATTTCTCGATGGATCAAAAACTGAAAAGTGCAACTATGAAAATTTTAGAGGTTAGAATTTTCTATGCCAGCTTCAGTAAAAATTCATCAAATAAGACATAGAAACCCCAAAACATAAAGGAAAGTTTGATAATACATCAAGTTCATCAAGATACTATAAAGAAAGTTAAAAAACAAGTATAAAATAGAAATACATATTTTCAACACAGGTAAACAACAATGGGCCAATACTTAGAATATAATAAGAAAAAATATAAATAATAGAAAAAGACTTGAACAGGCGTCTTACAAAAGAAGAAATTCAAACATTTATTAAGTATGATATTGTGTTCAACCTCTTTAGTGATCAGAAAAGTGTAAACTAAAACCATTATAAAATTATCAGAACTTCTACAAGTTGTATAAAAATTTTGAGTCTGGTAAAACCAACTAAGATTGAGGAGAAGTAAGAGAATTGGAACTGCTGATGCAATTTTAAATTGGTACAGTCACTTTGGAAAAGTTTAACATTATCAAGTGATGTTGAACATATGCTTGTGTGTGTAATTATGTAGCAGTTTATTTCCTATAGGTAAATAAACATGTGCACATGTACCCTAGGACACATGTATGTGAATATTTATGGCAGCAATGTTTATAATTTTGTAAAATTACAAAATAATTTTATAAAAGTCCAAACCCAGAAATAGCCCATATATGTGTTAGCAGAATGGGTGAATATAGTAATTCATTAGATTGTGGTACAGAAATGAAAATAAATGAACCACAGCTACATGTAACATCATGCATATAAACAACAAATATAATATAAAATTTCAAAAACAAAACTAGATTATATAGAATATCAATTTTTAACAGAGGTGTGACATCATCTTTGTTGCCCAAAATTGACTTGAGGGTGAGGGGACAGCAGTAAAAAAAAAAAAAGTGTACAATTGTTTCTGGACTTCCAAAACTTAAAAATACCTGACAAAATGTTGTTGTTGTTAAGTGCTGTTGAATCGATTCCAACCCATAATAACCTTGTATAGAGTTTCTGAGGAGCAGCTGAGTTTGAACCGCCAACCTTGCAGTTTCAAACAGCTTTGCAGTCTGGCACATTAACCCACAGCGCCACATCAGGACTTCGAAAAAATATTACTTAGTGTATAATTTGTCTTTGTGATTTCTTTTGAGCACCACTTACACAGACAGAGTTCATGGAAGAGGTACAAAATGTTTACAAGATCAGGCCTACTTATAATTGATTGCTTCATCAAGAAACCATTGAGAAAGTTGGTCTACATAAGCTTATTAGGTGCCATTAGCTGTCTTGTGAGTGTCGCTTGTATTTGATCCGTGGTGCTTTTTGTGTGGATTTGAGTTTTGAAAATTGAATGAAAATAGTTTCTATATTAATTCAACCAAATTATACAGTCCAACATAAATTACATTGTGCTGAAAGAAAAAAAAATGCCAACAATATTTTTTTGTTAACTATCTAGCAGATAGTTAAAAGTTATCTTCTCATGAAGCAGAAGTTAAACATTGTTAGTTGCTGTCCAGTTGATTCGGAGTCTTGGTAACTGTATGGGTGCAGAGTAGAACTGCTCCATAGAGTTTTCAAGGCTGTGGCCTTTCAGAAGCCAATCAGCAGGTCTGTCTTTTGGTGGGCTTGAACTGCTGACCTTTTAGCTAATAGTTAAGTGCTTAACAAGTTAAGTTACCTAGGGACTCCTATTTGAGAGTACCTTGTATTCTAGTGTTTCAGTTCATTTGAGCTGACTTACTAACCACAATCCATGGAAATAAGGTACATGGGATGCAAAAGTAAAGAAATCAAGTCAAACAGACATATATAAAACAACACAACATGGTTCAATAGAAATTAATTTTTTAATTGTTTTGCTGGAAAATAAATTTTAAATCATACTTTAAAATTTTGATTGCATTGCTGTTATTACATTATGTATTTATATAAATGGATAATTTGATTATGTAATTTGTATCACAATTTATATAAATAAACAAATTACAATAAAATTTCTCAGCAAATATAGTTATAAAGGTAAATACTAATAGTTTTAAGATTAGCAATCCAGTGCTTATCCTACAGTGCCACACCAGGGCTCCATATTTACTCTGTTGTTGTTTTTAAGTGCCCTTGAGTTGGTCTGAATCACAATGACCCTGTAAAGGGTTTCCCAGGAATGGCTGGTGGGTTTAAACTGTCACCTTTTCTGTTAGCAGTGCAGTGATGATCCTAGAGCACCACACTAGGAGTCTGTATTTACCCTGTAGGAGAATAGAACTACAAAGAGTTTTAAGATTTAAAGTCTTTGTGGAAGCAGTTAGGTTCCTCTTTCTCCTGCAGAGCAGTTGGTGATCTTGAATGGCAGACCTTTTGGTGAGCAACCTCCATGCTTAATACAAAGGTGGTAAAACTATTAAAAAAAACAGATTTACTATAATAGTTAACTGATAGTAGGGTATAGATTATGCTTTTAAAAGTTCACATGGCTGAACTTTTAAGGTTCAGCAGTTTAGGGTGCTGACAACTTTCTATTTCTTGACCTGGGAGGTGGCTACACAGGTACTTGCTTTTTAGTTATGCATTAATGTATATCTTTTGTTTTATGTATGTTTCTATTCTTAGGTTCTGTCGAGTCGGTTCCAACTCATAGTGGCCCTATACAGTGTATCCAAGGAGTGTGTGGTGGATTTGAACTGCCAGCCTTATGGTTAGCAGTTCTGTGCTTATCCTACAGCACCATACCAGCACTCCTTCCAAGTTTCTATATGTATGTTATATTTCACAATAAAAAAGTTAAAGTAATTTTTATACTTTAGTTTAAAATATGGAAATCCTACTACTGCAGAATTGATTCTGACTCAAAATAACCCTACTGAAATTGCCCCATAGGGTTTCTAAGATTGTAATCTTTACAGAAGTAGACTGCCACATCTTTCTTCCATGCAGTGACTGGTAGGTTAAAACTGTCAAACTTTTTATTAGCAGATGAGCACTTTAACCACTGCATTAGCTAGCTAGTATTTTTACATTTTACATATGAATCGTGAACTAAATCTCAAACTTTGTAAAATTTCTTAATTAAAAAAATACATGTTGATTGATGAAAAGCTTTTACTGAATAAAAACAGAAATGCCATTTGTTTGTTTTTTTGAGGTGGGCCCAGTTCTTCATCCATCCACTAATGATCAGAGATGCCATTGATCGTGAAGTTGAAGCTGTTGATAGTGGTAAGAAAAGTGCTTTATGTTTTTACCTTCATTAACTTTCATTCAGCACATATATTATTCTTTCTCACTACATAATTTATTCTTTATATTATAAATAGCTGAATTGAACTGGATGTGTAATGTTTTTTGGTGAAGTCATTAATTATATAATTTATGAAGCCATTGAATGTGTAATTAAAGTAAGTCAAAAGGATTGTAGATTAGTTTTTTTCAACTCTTTTTGTTGAAGATGCTCCCGTAGTGACTAATCTTTTGCCAGGTATGAGTCTAATTCTTAAAGCTAATACTAGATGTTAAAGCATTATAGGTTCATCTATTCTTTTCATGAAGAGACAGTATCTGTAAGGCTTTAAGTACCATCTGATATTTTTATTATAGTGTAACCCTTTGTCATCTCTGTGTGTAGATGTTTGTGGCTTTAATTTTTTTTTTTTCTTGATTGAAGCATTTTTTTTTTATTGAAGCATTTTGTTAAGTGCCTTCGAGTTGGTTCCAACCCATAGCGACCCTGTACAGGGTTTCTGAGGCTGTAAATCTTTACAGGAGCAGATAGGATGCTTTATTTTGAGTTATGTGGTAGTTTACTTGGGAGAACATTTAGCTTCACACTGATACCATGGTATATCATTTACTTGCCATGGTTGCAATCCCCCCCCTGCCCCCCCCAAAAATGGTCATCAGCACACAGGCCCTCTCCATCTCTGGCATCACTACTTCTCTGGGTAGGGTTCTGTTCTCTGCTCTTGTCCCTTGATGGTCCCAGAGACCTCTGCCCCTAGACTGCAAAGTTAATTCCTCCCCTCCCTTTGCTACAAAATGTCTACCTTTACATTTCCAGCCCTTACAATCAGTCCTGATAACAATTATTCACTATTGTATTGCACGAGAGCTATCCGTATCTCCTTTCATCTGCCTCGCCTAGACAGATTGGACACTACTCAGTGGAGATTCAACCTTGTTCCACACCCTCTGGATCTAGGTTCCCTCTTGAAAGCTTGTAAGCCAGTCACTTCTAGCCTCTGTAAAACGCCACTCCCCCTCCCCCCACCCCCACTTCTGGGTAGCCAGTGTCCAAGTTACCCATCCCTGTTGTGGCTTTAATTTTGATTATTCTGAAAATAGTTGTAAATATCTCTGGGATTTAAAGAAAGACTATCATAAGGAAAACTATACTTAACTTAGGGTGAGCTTTCATTATAGAACTGTACTATAAATATTTAATTATAGAATCCCAATAAATAGCATCACTATTTGCTTTGTTTGGGCATTAGAAACATGTAGTACATGTTGTTATTGTTAAGTGCCGTAGAATCTGTTCTGACTTATAGACACCTTGTATACGCTTTCTATGGAGTGTCTGGTGAGTTTGAACCACCAGCCTTGCAGTTCAAACTGACCTTGAAGTCAGACTATGTTTTCTTCATATTTATTACTTAGCTGTACTAGTATCTGTTTTATCATAGACCCAGATAAATATTTGTTAAGTGCATGAAAGAACAAAAAGATTTTAGAAAAAATAATCTTTCTAAAAGGACTTTCAACTTTTTTTAATGATATATTTTTACTTTTGTAAAATTTATGTAATATATAGATATTTGCCACTTTAACCACATTTAAAAGTGTATAATTTTATGGTATTAATTATGATGACAAATAAAAAAGCATTGCTATAAAATCAATGAAACCTTTACTAAACAAAAATATAGAAATGTGGTTATTTGTTTCCAACATATCCTCCATTTAGGTCTAAACATTTCTGAAAGTGGTGTTTTCATCTCTTTAACCATTCCCCAAAGAATTCTATGCTCTTCAGTTTATACCTCATCAAAATGATAGTGTTGGCATCCTTGAAAGGGACTCTAATCATGTTCCTTTGAAATGTTCTTTGAATTTTGGGAACAAGAAGTCTGAAGGGACAAGATCTGGGCTATAGGATAGATGGGGTAAGGTTTCTCAATGAAATTCTTATAGCCCTTGCTGCCTGCAAAGAATCAGCAGATGCATTGTCATGATGGGAGAAAAACATTAATCTGCACAATTTTCCTGGCCTTTTTTCTCACCAAAGCAGTTACCAATTTTCTTAAAACTTAATAAACCCTATCTGGGATCATCCTGTGTCATTTGAGAAAATCTCTCAAGATTACCCCATAGTACTACCCCAAAACATTATTCATAATCTTCTGAATTGACCTCTTTGCCTTGAATTTAACTGGCATACCAGAAACCCTTGGGAACCATTGTTTTAACTAGACCCTTTTTTGAAGGCATCCTAATGAGACTAATACAAGTGTAATACTCAGAGAACATGTCTGTAGTCATCCACAGATTGTTTTGTGTGGAATAAACCCAGGCATGTATGAGAAGCCTAATAGACTTTTTGACTTGCCCTTGTATATTCACAATGTTGTACTGCCATCACCACTATTGATTTCTAGAAATTTTTCATTACCCCATACAGAAACTTTGTGACCATTAAGCAGTAACTCAGTTCACTCCTTTCCTTAGCCTCTGATAACCTTTAATCTGCTATCTGTGGATTTACTGATTCTGTAAATCTATGGATTTACTGATTCTGGGTATTTCATTTAAATGGAATCATATAGTATTTGTCCTTTTGTGCCTGATTTTTTTTTTTTTTTTTTTTAAGATTCATCCATGTTGTAATATATATCAGAGCTTCATTCCGTTTTTGGATGCATAGTATTTCATTGTATGTGTATGCCATATTTTATTTATTCATCTGCTGTTGGACATTTGGATTGCTACCGCCTTTTGACTATTTTGAATAATGCTGCATTCAACATTGTACATATGTCTATTTGCACTGCTCTTTTCAAGGTTCTTGGGTACATAAAATTTGCCTAGGAGTGGAATTGAATTGCGGGGTCATAAGGCAGTTCTATGTTTATCTTTTTGGGGACTGCCAAAATTTTGCACAGCTGCAAAGCCCTTGTACTTAGCCATCACATTTTATTACCAACATAGTTGGCACTGGAGGAAGTAAAATAAAATATATTGCAAAGTTCCCAATATAAGGAATTTGATTTAACATTATTAACAATTTCATTATTAAGTCTTAGACATAGAGTACTAGAGTTGAAACACTTACAACCATTAAGTGCCTTGTGTAATTTAAAAGATAAGAGGAAACCCCCAGAAGGTGAATTGTATTATCCAAAGACATACAATGTGTTAAGTCATATAGCCAATCCTAGATAAAGTTCTCCATTTCAACCTTATAACCTGTTTCACAAAGTTACAAGTTTTAATACTTGAGTTTCCAGGTACTAAAACAGTTAAAATAATTAAGTTATTTTAGTATTTTAAGTTAATTAAGTTATTCTAATAAGAATTTCCATACAGTAAAACAGTTAATATAATTAAGCTGAATTTCCAGATAATAAAACAGGTGCTGAATTTCATTTTATTAAATGTGTTTCTTTGAAACTGACAGAATATCAACTTGCAAGACCTTCTGATGCAAACAGAAAAGAAATGCTATTTGGAAGCCTTGCTAGACCTGGACATCCTATGGGGAAATTTTTTTGGGGTAAGATATTCCATAATTTTATTTCATATTTTCTAGTTAATGAAGATTGAGAATGGTAAAAACAAAACAACAAGGGGGTAACTAGGCTTTTGCTTCTCAGTAGGTTTTCAGATAGATGGTGGTGGTGGTGGTGGTGGTGGTTAAGTGTCATCAAGATGGTTCTGACTCAGCAACCCTGTATAGGGTTTCCAAGGAGCAGATGGTGGTTAAACCTCCCTAATATTTGGTTTTCTAACTTTGGGTTTCTAAATAGCAAGAAGGTTATTGTTAAGTGATGTCGAGTTGATACTGACTCACAGCAACCCTGTATAGGGATTCTGAGGAGCATCTGGTGAGCTTGAACTGCCAAACTTGAGGTTCAAACTGACCTTGCAGGTTCAGCGCATTAACCCTCAGCGCCACACCAGGACTCCAAATAGCCAGAATATTATTGTTGTTGTTAGGTGCCATCATGTCAGTACCGACTCATAGCAACGCTATGCACAACAGAACCAAACATTGCACGTTCCTGGGCCAACCTCACAATTGTTTGAGGTTGAGTCCATTGATGCTGCCACTTTGCCAATCCATTTCGCTGGAAGTCTTCCTCTTTTTCTCTGACCTTACCAAACTTAATATCCTTCTCCAGCGACTGGTCCCTCCTGACAATATGTCCGAAGTATGAGAGATGAAGTTTGGCCATCCTGGCCTCTAAGAAGCACTCTGACTGCACTTCTTCCAACACAGATCTGTTGGTTCTTTTGGCAGCCCATGGCACTTTCAATATTCTCTTCCAACACTGTAACTCAAAAGCATCAATTCTTCTTTATTAACTGTCCAGCTTTCATATGCATGTGAGGTTATTGAAAACACCATGGCTTGGGTCAGGCCACCTTAGTCCTTAAGCTGACATATTTGCTCTTCAACACTTTAAAAAGGTCTTGTGCAGCAGATTTGCCTAGTGCAATACTTCATTTGATTTCTTGACTGCTGCTTCCATGAGTGTTGATAGTTCATCCAAGAAGAATGAAGTTCTTGACAACTTTAATCTTTTCTTTGTTGATAAATTTATTGGTCCAGTGGTGAGGATTTTTCTTTTCTTGACATTGAGATGAAAGGCATACCGAAAAGGCTGTGCTCTTTGATCTTCATCAGTAAATATTTTAAGTCCTCTTCACTTTCAGCAAGCAAGGTTGTGTCATCTGCATATCGCAGGTTGTTAATGAGTCTTCTTCCAATCCTGATGCCACGTTTTTCTTCATTTGGCCCAACTTCTCAGATTATTTGCTCACCATACAAGTTGAATAAGTATGGTGAAAGAATATAACCCTGTTGCATCCCTTTCTTAATTTTAAACCATTCAGTGTTCCCATATTTTGTTCGAATACCAGTATTTTGTGAATGTTTTTTAGGTTCTAGTTACATAATTACTTGTCAGATCATTACAACAACCTTATGAGATGGTGTTGTTAAATATTGTCAAGTCAGTGCTGACTCATAGTGACCCTGTATAGAGTTGCTGAAGAACAACTGGTGGGTTTGAACTGCCAACCTTGTGTTTTGCAGTCTCGTGCTGATTCCACAGTGCCACACCTTACAGAAATTATCTAACTTGCTTAAATCACAACTAATTAGTGGGGAATGTGGAATTTTGTAAACCTCAGTTTTTCTGATTATGGAGTGTGTACTCTCCCTCAACCTGACATTTCCATTTATCAACAGAAATGTAGCAGTGCTTTCTGTAATAGTTTTTGACTAGTGACTTAATTTAGTTTAACTAGTAAGCTTTTTGCTTAACTGATACCTGTTTTTTTTTGATGTATTGTTTTTTTGATGTGCTGTCGAGTTCTGTTGGCTAGGATTTTGTTGAGGATTTTTGCATCTATATTTATGGGGGATATTGGTCTATAATTTTCTTTTCTTAGTGATGTCCTTCCCTGGTTTTGGTATGAGGGTTATGCTTGCTTCATAGAAAGTATTAGGGAGGTTTCCATCCTCTTCTATGTTCTGGAATAATTTGAGTAGACTTGGTGACAGTTCTTCTCTGAATGTTTGGTAGAACTCAGCCGTGAAGCCATCTGGGCCTGGGCTTTCGTTGGTTGGGAGTGTTTTGATGACCTGATCAATTTCTTCTTTTGTTATGGGTTTGTTCAAATTTTCTACTTCAGTCTGAGTAAGCTTAGGTAGGTCGTGTTTTTCTAGAAATGTATCCATCTAGTCCAAATTTTCGAATTTGTTGGAGTACAGCTCTTCGTAGTATTCTGTTATTATCATTTTTATTTCGTCTGGTTCTGTTTTGACTTCCCCTGTGTGGTTTCTAATGCAATTTATTTGTGTCCTCTCCCTCTTTTCTTTAGTTAGTTTTACCAGTGGTTTGTCAATTTTATTAATCTTTTCAAAGAACCAGCTTCTTGTCTTGTTGATTCTTTCTATAGTTTTTCGGTTTTCCATCTCATTTATTTCTGCTCTTATCTTTATTATTTACCTTCTTCTGGTGACTGTAGGTTCCCTCTGCTGGTCTGCTTCTAATTGTTGAAGATGCTGTGTTAATGTGTTGATTTTGGCTCTTTCATCTTTTGGGATGTGTGCATTTATCACAATAAATTGTCCTCTCAGGACTGCTTTGAGCGTGTCCTAAAGATTTTTATATGTGTGTTTTCATTCTCGTTTGTTTCCAGGAACTTTGTGAATTCACTTTTAATTTCTTCTTTTACCCAGTCACTTTTCAGTAGGGTGTTGTTCAGTTTCCATGTCTTCGACTTTATTGATTTGGCCTTCTTATTGTTGATTTCTAGTTTTATAGTGTTGTGGTCTGAGAAGATGCTTTGTAGAATTTTGATGGTTGTGAATTTATGGAGGCTTGCTTTGTGATCTAACAAGTGGTCAATTCTGGAACATGTTCCATGCACACTGGAGAAGAATGTGTATTGTGCCGTTGTTGGATAGAATGCTCTGTATACATCTATGAGGTCAAGTTGGTTGATTGTGTTGTTAAGTTCCTCTGTCGAATTGTTGAGTTTCTTTCTGGTTGTTCTATCCTTTTTCGAGAGTGGTGTGTTGAAATCTCCTATTATAATTGTTGATTTATCTATTTCTTTCTTCAGTTCCATTAAGATTTGCTTCATGTATCTTGGTGCTGTTTCGTTGGGAGCATATATGTTTATTATAGTTATGTTGTCTTGCTCGATTGACCCTTTGATCATGAGATAGTGTCCTTCTTTGTCTCTTATGCTGGTTTTCATCTTAAAATTTACTTTGTCGGAGATTAGTATTGCGACTCCTGCTTGTTTGTTGTTACAGTTGGCTTGGTAAGTTTTTTTCCACCCTTTAACTTTTAGTCTGTTTTTGTCTTTGTGTGTAAGGTATGTCTCTTGCAGGCAGCATTATTGATGGATCTTGTTTTCTTATCCATTCTGCCACTCTTTGTCTCTTCATTGGTGCATTCAATTTATTGACATTCAATGTAATCATCGATAAGTATGAATTGATGGCTGTCATTATGTTACCTTTTTGGTGGTGCTGTTCGTTTTTTGGTTCTGCTTTCTTGTGTTGGCTTCATGTCTATTGAGTTGTTTCTGGTCAGTTTCCTCCTAGTTTCTCTGTTCGCTTGTTCTGCTTGGGAATTCGTTTTTATGATACGTTGTGGACTGTTAACTTTCTTTGGGGTTAACCCTGTAGTCTACTAACTTTTCTCTGCAATTAGGATACTCTATTGTAACCTGTAATTAACCTGGCATCCTCACCACCTGGGCTTCCATCACTGCGTTTGTCCCTTCTTTGACATTGATATGTTTTTAGCCTTCAGTGTACTTCTCTGCTGCTTCTTGTTCCTGAATGCCAATAATTTTTACATTATTCCTCTTCATGTTATCTAGCATGAATCTTAGACTTTTTTCAGATTGTTTTATCCTTTTAGCTGCTTGCTCTTCTACCTTGGCAGTATTGAGATTTGTCTTTCAGTTCGTTAGTTCTGGCTTCCATTTCTTCTAGTCTGCTCCTTTCCTCTTTCAGCCTATTGTCTATTTCTGGTATCTTGTTATTGATTCCCTGGACATCTTTTTGCAGGTTTTGAATTGTATCCAATGCTGTGTCAATCCTATTTGATTGTTCCTGCGGTACTCTCCTTATTTTCCTTGACCCCTTTTCAGATTATTTGAATTTGTTTCCATATCATTCTTCTGAATTCCCTCTCAGGCATATCCAGAACCCACTCTTCATCCTCCATAAAGTCTTTGTCTGTCTCCAGCTCATTTGCATCAGCTGCTCTCTTCTGTTTTTGGATGTGTTTCAATAAAGTTGATTGTTTCTTATTGGTCATGGTTATTGTTTTATTATTATTATGATTAATATGATCGGGAGATGGGCTTCCCTTTTCGTCTGTAATGCGTAGCAGATGTTGTTGGGTCTTGTCTTAGTGGTGGAGTATTATGTTGTATGCTTATTGCTTGGCTATATGGCCATGATTGCTGCTGCTTCTTATGCGACGTAGGGAGGATAATAAGTTCCCCACCTCCAGGAAGGATGTGAGATCAAAAGGACTAAAAGCAGAACTAATATAAATGCATAGACAGAAATCACCACTTTGGAGTGGGAATGCTGCTTTGGTTAACTTTTTCTGTTTCCTGCCCCGCCAGAACAGCTGCTGGAAGATCCCACTACTAGCTAGAAGTGGAGGAAGGGGGCTAAATGTAGGGATGGGGGATGGTGGATGACATCAAAAAGCCGCTGCCTTTCTCCCTCTGTGCGTGGCTGAGCTGCCCCTGCCTGATTTTTATTGGGATCTCAAGCCAGGGCAGGGAGATTTTGTGGGGGAGCTATGTCGTTTCTTGAGGCTTTTTTTGTCCAGAGACCCCTTTTTTTTCCCTCCTGCTGGAAACACCGCTTTCCTAACAGGCTGGCCTTAGCCCTGCCCACTAAACTCTGTAGTCGCAGGAATGACCCGTGGTCCCGCAGGTGAGAGTCCCAAAATGTGCACCTTTCTTTTTCCTTAGTAGTGCGATTTCTCAAAAATGTGAGTTCAGGAGACTGAAATACTAGATGTTATGATAGTTTAAAAGCCGTGAGACTGGTATATGAACGTTTCCTTCATGAGATCCCCCTCCTTTCTCACCAGAGCTTTCCCCTACCTGACTTTCCTGGCTGTCGTGCAGTACCGGAAGCCCCTTCCCTAAACATTTTGTAAGGAAATGTTTAGTCACTAGTAGCACAGTGGCTAAGTGCTTGCCTGCTAACTGAAAAATTAGTGGTGAGCCCACTAGCCTTTCTCAGGAGAAATATGTGGCAGTCTATTTCTGTGAAGATTTACAGCTTTGAAATCCCTATGGGGGCAATTCTACTCTGTCCTATAGAATCACCATGACTTAGAACTGACTCAATAGCAATTGCTTTAAAAAAAATACATTATATATAGTTATATACATTCCATATGAGGTATTTCTTAATGTATTTAATTTTAAAAATCAGGAAGAATATTAAAATAACTCAGATAAATAACAGTGTTGAATACTGAGACTAATTATTAAGCAAGGAACCTAATGAGCTTAGCTTCAGTTTAAGGTAATGAATTTGTTGTTAAGATGTTGCCAACCAGAGATTAATTTCTGTATATTAAAAATTAGTAAGTTCAGAATTGCTTCTTGACCATACTAATCTTTTGTTTTATGTTAATATTATTATTATTACTACACACTGGCTTAATATTGTTCAGTGATTTGGGTAATTTCATTGTTGGTGTAGATAACTCTTAATAAAGTGAACTTAGTTATTTCTATAATGTTTTTTGTCTTTTTATAGGAAATGCTGAGACTCTCAAACATGAGCCAAAACGGAACAATATTGATACGCATGCTAGACTGAGAGAATTCTGGATGCGCTACTACTCTGCTCATTATATGACTTTAGTGGTTCAATCAAAAGGTAATATTATCTATAGTGGCACTTGAAATTATGCAAAAGTAGCAATTTCTTAGAATTTGTTGCGTGGATCAGTGTTGGAGTATTCTGTTCATTATGTAGTGCTTGACTCTAATATAAAGAAAGAGGTAGAGAAAAGACCTGACAGTCTGCTCCTGGAAAGATCATAGCCTAGAAAATTCTATGGGGTGGTGCTACTCTATCATGTGGGGTTGTAATGAGTCCAAATCAACTTGACAGCATTGAGCAACATCTACCCTCACATCTCTTTAACCCATCCAGAGCCTACCCAGCTTCTGGACGTCGTCTCTTGTCTTTTTCCCAACCATATCCTTAATGTATCCATAATGGAGCACAGTAGGCACTCAGTGAATGTTTATTAAATGAAAGAGTTAATAAGGAAAATGAAGGAAATCAAGATTTGGATATGTCACATAGCATGTGGCAAAGCTCATGGAAGAATAAGGTTATTTTATCCTTAGACAAATGTTTTTCTCTTATGTTGTGTACTGTTGAGTTAGTTCTGACTCATAGTAACTGTATATAACAGATTATAACTACCTCATAGGGTTGCTTGTTGTTGTTGTTAAGTGCTATTGTGTTGGTTCCAACTCATAGTGATCCTGTATAGGGTTTCCAAGGAGTGACTGGTCGGTTTGAACTGCTGATATTGTGGTTAATAATCCATTCTGGTAGCATAGTGGTTACCAACCGGGCTGCGAACCTTAAGGTCAACAGTTCGAAACTACTAGCTGTTCCACAGGAGAAAGATGAGACTTTCCACTTCTGTAAAGATTTACAGCCTTGGAAACCCTGTACAGGGTTGCTATGAGTCAGTTCCGACTCCACAGCACATAACCACCACCATCGCCAATCCATTGCTTATCCTATATTACCACATCAGAACTCCATAGGGTTGCCCTAGTCTGTTCATAATGGCAGATCTTTTCTCCCGTGAAGCTGCTGGTTGGTGGGTTTAAACCACTGACTTTTCAGTTAGCAGCTAAGTATTTAACCATTTTATAGGTATAGATCTTATCTATAGAATAAATAGTCTGATAATGTACTAATATGTCATGAATTACTCTTTTGAGTTACATTCAGTTGTCTTTCTGTTTTATAATTAATCTATATTGATTATAAACTTATAATGGGCAAGGTGTCTGTTCATATTTACATGTTGTGGTGAACAAATTTATAACCCCAACTCATGGCAACTCCATGCATGTCTTCATATGTTGTTATCATGAGGTGCCATCCAATTGATTCTGACTCGGAGCCACCCCACATGACACAGCAGAACTGCCCCCATAGGGTTCTGTAATGTTTACGGAAGAAATAGCCAGATCTTTCTAGTGCTACTAGGCTGGTGTGAGCTGCCAATCTTTTGATAAGTAGCCATTGTGCCATCAGGGAGCCTTCATCCTTACATAATGTCCAATAAAATAGCATGATTAATTACTACAGAGTATGGTGAAGATTACAGAGTTTCTTAAATATAAATTGATAAAAACCTCCACTCTTTTCCTTCTTTTATCATTGTCTTCAGTATCATGCTAACTTTTCTCATAAGAGGAACCATCGTATCTGTTTTTTTCCTCTTTACATTTCAGCGTTAGGCTATTCTTCAATGTCAATCAATTGCTAAACTATTCCTTTTGCTATAACTTATAGTTTGCTAACCACAAGGTTGGAAGTTCAAATCCACCAGCCTCTCCTTGGAAACCCTATACAGGATCACTATGAGTCAGAATCAGCTAGATGGCACTTAACTGCAACAACAATCACTTGGGCAGTTTTTTCCCCCCAGAAGATATAATCCTCTCATCCTAATGTGATTTGCCTTTTTGTAAATGTTTGTCCCCTACATCGTTAAAATTGAGATCAGCGCTTACTTGGCATTACATACATGGCATTTTTGCATTTAGAATAAAAATGAGCCAACCACAGTTGACTTGAATCAGTAAAGCTATGGATATGGTATGATAGATTTCTTTGTTCAAACTGTAGGTATACTTTTAGATTTCTTGTATACCATTTGTTAAAATATGGAATTCCATTTTTCTGGTAGCGTATGGGTTATGAGTCGGGCTGCTACTACAATGTCAGCAGTTTGAAACTACCAGTTGCTTCACTGGGGAAAGACAAGCCTTTCTGCTCCTGTAAAGATTTACAGCCTTGGAAACCCTATACAGAGTTGCTATCAGTTGGTACCAACTCCGTGGAACACAACTACCATCAATATTATAATTTTAGATTAATTACTATGTTTTGAAATCATTTCATTCACATGCATTTTTCTTCAACTAGATATTTGCTGTTGTTAAGTGCCGTGGAGTTGGTTCCAACCCATAGCAATCATTGTATAGGGTTTCCTAGGAGCTACTGGTGAGGTTGAACCTCAGACCTTGCAGTTCAAACCGACTTTGCAGTTAACCCATAGCACCACACTAACTATTTACTCTAATTTCTTTTACAGTCCCAGATTTTTAATGAGAGGACATTTTACAATCTAGATTCTCTAAGTTTTGGAGCTTTAACATTTATTCTAACAGTTGAGAGTCAAATATCTATATAAATGTTGTTGTTTGGTGACATTGAGTTGGTTTTGACTCATAGTGACCTTATGCACAACAGAAGAAAACACTGTCCTGTCCTGCACCAACCTCAGAATCTTTATGTTTGAGCCCATTGTTGCTGCCACTGTGCCATTCTGTCTTGATGGGGGTTTCTTCTTCACTGACCCTCCACTTTAACAGTCATGATATACTTCTCCAAGGACTGGTCCCTCCTAATAATAATGTCCAAGTATGAGAGACTAAGTGTGGTCATCCTGGCTTCTAAGGAGCATTCTGGTTGTACTTCTCCCAACACAGATTTGTTTTTTCTTCTGCAAGTCCATGATACTTTTATTATTATTCTCCAACACCAAAACTCAAATGCATAAATTCTTCTATGGTCTTCCTTATTCACTATCCAACTTTCACATGCAGATGAAGTTGCTGAAAATACAGTGGCTTGGGTCAGGTGCACCTTCATTTTCAAACTGACATCTTCACTCTTAAATACTTTAAAAAGAGGTCTTGTGCTGCAGATTTGCCTAATGCAATACATCGTTTGAAATCTTGACTTGCTGCTTCCATGAGTGTGGATGGTGGATCCAAGCAAAATGAAGTCTTTGAAAGCTTCAATCTTTTCACCAGAGTTTATCATGATGTTGTTTATTGGTCCTCTTCTTTCAGCAAGCAAGGTTGTATCGTCTGCATATCACAGGTTGTTAATGAGTCTTCCTCCAATCCTGATGCCACATTCTTCTTTATATAAGCCAGCTTCTTAGATTATTTGCTCAACCTACAGATTGAATGGTGTATGAATACAACCATGGCACACACCTTTCCTGATTTTAAATGTTGTTAAGTGCTGTTGAGATGGTTCCGACTTACAGCAACCTTATATGGGGTTTTCAAGGTTATTTTTTTTTAGTCTAATTTACATCTTGCATTTTATACACTGGTTCTTCTTAATTGAGAGTTAGTGAAATTTGTGTGCCTGGTGGAACATAACAAATACCGTTCAGTGTAAATTAATACAAAATAAATGAAGTATAGAAGTGCTGTGAAGAAGAGGAATCAGGGTAGGATGAGAAAATGAGGAGAAGTCTTCCTAGTGTAAGGAAATATTGGAATGGGTGCAGATTATGGTTGATATATTCTTACTATTTCTTTTCTTCACTCCAGTCTAGTCTAATAGTAAAAACTTTTTCAAATTTTTGCTTTTTATTATTACTTTTGTGTTTTTCTAAGTTTACCAGGGAAAGTAAAAGAATATAACCAGATTTGTTTGTTAAGATTTCTTATTTACTGTTGCTTTTCTTGATAATTCATTACTGGTTAAGGAATGTCAAAGAATTCCCAAGTTTAACCACCCTTTTGCCTTTTTGCTGAAGGTCTGTGATAAAACTAATTTTATTCCTACCTTGAATAATGATATTATATTTCCCTGTCTCTCTTATCTACCTCCAACCCCAAGAAACCCTGGATACTTTGGAAAAGTGGGTGACTGAAATCTTCTCTCAGATACCAAACAAGTAAGACCTTTATTTTTCACAAATCACACATCTTTAGAGCTAAAAGATACCATATCTTCTTGTAAGAGTCCCAAGGTACTTTTGCCTTGTTTTGGTTTTCAAGTAGATAATGAAATGAAGACATAAAGATCACATGGCTTTTGAATTGGATAACTAGATGAGAACCCATGTTTCCAAGGTTCTTTGATTGCTTTAATAGTTATGTAGTTCAAACTTTTTAACTTACAGTAAATATTTTGTCTCCTTTTATATTTATCCAGAGCTTTTCTGCTCTATGTGAGGGTTTGAAACTGTTATATGAAGACAAGTATTATATTTTGAGGAAGATGTATATATTTATGTCCTTTACCTTGAAACAAATTGTGTTCTGAAAGTTTGTTTTTTAAGTCAGTTGTTTGGAAATGCTTTTCCCATCAAAGAATTCACATTGTGGTTAGATGATGGCTGATTTTCCATATTGCCTGGGAAGCCTATTTGATCGAAATGTATCATATTATCTATAATAAGAAATTGTACCATAGTGTTCCAAAACAGTTAAGAATACTATTCGGCATTTTTTGTTGACTTCAAATTTATCAAAATAATAATGCTTTGTTTTAGTTACAAAGAAAACAAAATATTTCATTCTGAAGCAGTAGTCTTCCCATTCTTAGCAATTTGCATTTTAATAAAATAAATGCATTAGGTATTTTCTTTCATCAGGTAAGCTAGTAGCTTTTTCTAGTTCATCCTAAGACATAAATTTATGAAAGAAAAATTGGCTTTTAATGTGTTAGAATAATTTGTAGTAATACCTGATTGGTTCTTATTATTATCTTAGTTTCATTTAAGTTTCTATTGTTAATTAGCAAAACTTCTTATGTGTAGAAAAATAAGGCCATGCCAAAGTCATACAATCTGTCAACCAGATTGGGAACCCCTTCAAGGAGAGACCAAGTCTTTAGGATGCCAGTGGATCCAAGACAATGCTTTATGTTTACTATTGGGCTTTAGTTCTAGTAGACCCTCTATATGTATTTGTTGAATAAGATGTATCTATAGTATATGTGTTTATTTTGAAATGGCTCTGTATGAGAGGAATATTGAAATTGAATGGGGCTGATAGATATAGTAAATATTGGGGTGAGCCCCTCCAAGTCATTATCTTCTATTTCTTTTGGGCTTTGTAGTCATTTGAGTTATTGGGGCTGAGATTAAAAATAGATTGTGAAGTTAAGGATTTTGTGGCTTTCTTTGTTGCTTAGATTCCTCTTCAGATAGGACTATATAGAATATTACAAATACCTATCATGTAGATATCACTAAAGACACTGTTTATAAAGGTGTTTGCTGATTAAATGTTTGTTTATTTTTCAGTGGGTTATCCAAACCAAATTTTGGCCATTTAACGGATCCATTTGACACACCAGCATTTAACAAACTTTATAGAGGTTTGTGAACCAAAGGTTTAAAACTGTCTGAAATAACTGTAACATATTCTCTAAAATATAAATGGGGCTGCCAATTTCCTTTAAAAATGAAAATAGAGCAGAAAATATAGCTGGTTTGAAAGGGACTGAATAGACAGTGAAGATCCAATTAGTGACAGATAGCAGCAGACCACTAGGAAACTGCAAGTTGATTATATATAGTTGTAGTTCTCTGCTGCTATTTATTCTGTTTCATGCTTTCTGTTTGTTTTCTCCTTGTTCCCTTTTGTTCTTTGTTTTTTTGTTTTATTTTACCTATAGATTTTGCTCTTTAAAGATAGAGGAGGAGGAAAACATTTTGGAAATTATTTCCTTTTAACTTTGTTATAAAAATACTTTTTATTAAATGAAGAAAAAAATTCAAGTAGAGGAATTTGTAAAGAAATAGGGAGAGAAAAAAAAATCACCCACGAATCTTACTATCTAGAGAAGCTATTTAGCAAAGTATCTTTTTTCGCCTATACTGTATTTTTTTTTCACTTAGTACTATATTTGTAATAATTGCATCAAATAGGTATGAGTCATCAAATAGGTATGAGTCATCAAATAGGTATGCTACAATCTACTTAACAATTTTCCTATAGTAAACATTATAGAAACATTTTTCTTTCTTTTCCCTTTTTCTTATGGTACCATCCTCTCTCCCCCTCTTTCTTCCTATTGTCTAAGTATTCCTCCTCCTCTTCAACTTATTGCCAACCTCTCCCCTCTTCCGTCCTTTGATCAGTGACTGTTTTGTAATACTTTTCCACCAGGTTCCATTCTATTTAGCTCACTCTTCCCAGAGACACCTTATTTGGGGTTGTATTGTTTTTGGTTTTGGATTTCATATTCATAGAATTACAGAATCATTCTTTGGGAAGAATCTAAGGGATAATTTAACCCAGATTACTTATTTTATAGTAGGGAAACTGATTCAGAAAGATTTAATGTAAGGGATCTTCTTAAAGAGGTCATTTAGGTCTGGATTTACAAAACGAGTCTCCTGACTCCTAGTTCCATATTCTTTCTTGCAACAAAACTCCTCCTTATGAGTATTACATTACATATTCTCATAGTTTCTTTTATCCCTGCTTTCTCTATACATGAAACTAAGTCGAAAAGAATTTTTATAAAACTTCCATCGTTTAAACTGAAAACTTGACAACTTGAAATAATAAATACATTGTATTTATTAATGCCCCTGCTTACTGGTGAATGAAATATATTGAATTAAAAGAGAAAAAATAAAAGCATTCTTCTTACATATCGGAAGTTATGGAAGAATATGTACTTATATTTGTTCTTCTAAAAAATGTTTTTAGTGGTTCCAATCAGAAAAATTCATGCTCTGACGATCACATGGGCACTTCCTCCTCAGCAACAACATTACCGGTAAGAATTTAAGGGCAAGTTGGTTACTTTACTAGTGAAAACATTACATTTTTAAAGCATGCTAAATGTCTTAAATTTGGAGGTTCTGAATTTATAAATAGAGGTAATTTGGTAAATTGGAACTTGACTAATGCTGGAGTTTTCAAGCTTTGTTAAATATTTGAATGTTTTATTTAACAGGAAATTTTTTATAGGTAGTTGTCTTTCATGAATCTTTAAAATTTATCTTAGTGTGGATGCTGTTTTGTAATTATTTTCTTCAGTACTTTCAGTACAGAAATATAATATTAACTAATAATTTATTTGTGAGTGTGGTAGCTCCATATGATAAGCACTGGATTGTGAGCCATCAGGTCCACGGTTCAAGCCCACCAGCTGTTCCAAGGGAGAAAGATGAGACTTTCTGCTCCCTTGAAAATGTAATAAGCCTTGGAAACCCTATCCAAGTTCGCTATGAGTGAGAACCCACTCAACGGCACCTAACAATAACAGTAATTTAATTTATTTTTAAAACCCATTACCAATAACACCTAACATATAAGCACATACAAACAGAAAGAAAGATTAATGTGTGCTTATATAAGCTTGTTGCTTATATATTAGAATATTAAAACAATCAAGTCGCATATAGTTAAGAATGATATGCCTATAATGAGACTGTAGATAGCATGTGCACTGCCCATGTGCTTTTGACTCAATAATAATATAAAGTTAATATACATTGAATGTCCCAACAGTGTAAGGTAAAGTTAGAGTGTACTAAGAAGGGTTAAAGTTATTACAAGTCTGTTTAAAAGTTTTAGCGTCTTGGTGTGGCATTGTAGAATAATCACTGGCCTGCTAACCACAAGGTCAGCAGTTCATACCTACTGTCTTCTCAGAAACCTTATACAGTGTCTAGATGAATCGGAACTGACGCTATGTTGTTGTTAAATGCTGTCAAGTAGGTTCCAACCCAAAGCAGCCCTGTATAGGGTTTCCGAGGAACAGCTGGTGAGCTTAAACCACCAACCTTGTGGTTCACACAGACTTTGCAGTTCAGCACATTAGCCCACAGAGTTACGCCAGTTTTCCTTGGCACTTAGCAAAACAATTTAAATTTAATTATTTATTTTCAAATGTTACTATAAAAGTAACACATATTTGTACAACATTAAGATAGAAAAGGGAATGAAATAAAAAGTAAATGTTTCTCCTTTCTGTTGTTCCTGTCCTCAAAGATGTGCCTAGCATTAATAGTTTTTAATATATCCTTCAAGGTATTAATGTAATGAATATAAAACACATATAATATCTTCTTTATAGAAATGAAATTATATTGTATATATTATTCTTCCATCTTTTTTCATTTCTTCTTTGTTTTTTTAATTGACAAAACTTTCTCCTCCGTTAGTACTAAGGTAGTTCATACTCACTTGAAAATTTTGAAAATTGCCAAAAAGTAGGATACTGACTCCGCTCTCCAAAGATGCTTATTTCTTCTGGGTGTTTGTACCACGTTAATTTTTTATGAACTTTTTTTTTTTTTTTTTAAATATAACATTTATCATGAAACCATTTTGAGTCTAT